GGACTCCCCGTAGTGGTCGACCGGATGACGGCAGTATGGTACACCTTTGCTAAAGCACGGGTAAGTATTTCAGAAATCATGTTTCTTAATTCAGATTGTTTACAGTTGAACATGTAGTTGTAAATCAACATATACATAGTATCCCAATATTTTATCCCTATTTTTGGTTTGTCCTTGGACCTTTTTATGATATTTAAAACAGCAAACAAGCTGACGGCCCGCCTGATAGAAAGTGGTAACCGTCATTTTTAGACATAAGTACTATAGGCAGAATGCACAGTGATTCCCTCATGCATTGCTATTCTTGAAGACTCACTTACACGCGCAACTACTCTTTGAAATCAACTTCCAGCAGCAGTATTTCCGAACCGATACAACAACGTAACCTTCAAGGAAAGAGCATATTCCTTTTTAAAAGGCCGGCAGCACACCTGCAATACCATTGGTGTTGTGGGTGATCATGGGCGGCGGTAGTCACTTACTATCAGGTGAGCAGCATGGTCGTTTGCCCCCTTTGTTACAAGAAATCTTATTGTAGTATTTGAGGGTATCAAGTTACACTATTGAAGGTAACTAAGAAATAAAATGTCATCCAGTCTGTAACCGACCAGTAAACAAGTTTTTTCTTATACCACTGAGGTGGCAAACAAGCATACGGCCCACCTGATGGTAAGCGGTTACCGTAGCCTATGAACGCTTGCAATACCAGAGGCATTACGCGCGCGTTGCCGACCCTAAAGAAACCTCTTTACCCCCCTTTTGAAGAACCCCATGCTGTAATGTAACAGTAATCTTGCATTTTTATTTCGATATCTCTGGACATACGTTACACTTATATAAAAATATGTTATAAGTCTATGGTCTTATTATACCTATGTGTCCTGTAACTTCACTGTCAAATGCCAGTCTTCAAATCGCAACACACAGCTATGTATGCACAGCTATTTCAATGAGGGAAACACTGGTGTACAGTGGTACCCGTGCAAAACCATTTTTTTGAGAAAGGGATTGTTAGTAATGGAGACTGAGAATCCTATTGCTAGCAATATACCCAACCAGGTCGACCTCCTCGCGGTTCTCCCTGGAAACTATCATGGTTAATTCCTAATGAATTCATCATGATGAGCTAACTGGCCTGCTTTCATTCTCATCTATCACCCTTCACTGGTGCTCCGCAAGCGTATACCGTTAGCGCAGGCGGGGTTACCATATCATTTTTACCCATCAAAAAAAAAACCAATTTTTTTATAGTTTTCCTCTAGTAAGTTGGTCTGATTTTATTGTTTGTTTTCAGCGACCCAAATCCCCGCGGCAACGAGCTGCCGGAGCTGTCGACCCTGCAGTGGCCGGCCATGACTCCGACGGCGCGCAAGTACCTCAAGTTCGACCGACAGTTCACAGTCGAGGAGAACATGTTCGAGGACAGGTTCAAAGTGTGGGAAGAACTGTACCCTGTTGAATATTAAAGTACAGTTTGATTAAAGAAAACCAACTTTTGTTATACTCGGTTAATGAGAATCAATAAACACTATTTAATTTGGATAGTAGTTATGTTTTTTTAAAACTACCCACATATGTATAGGATAATCTTTAGTAATAGTATTGTTGAAGATTGCAAAATTTCTTTGATAAAAATAATATATCTATTTTTATTTTATTTATTTAACACTTTATTTATTGCACTAACATAACATGATTTGTTAAACAATTTTCAATACGTATAGTGTAGTACAAAAGGCGGTCTTATTGCTAAGCAATCTCTTCCAGACAACCTTTGGGTAGAAGGAATTAAAGCATGAATAGGTAGGTGGCGCGTTAAAAAAAAAATTTGTAAAAAATAATATCTGTGACAGCATAGTCATATACACATACATAAATAAACACATACATTCAAACATATACATACATATATACACATATACAGCTTATTTTTTTTTTCTATCAGTCACTGTTCTTATTTTGTTTTTTCTTGGCACAATTTCTATCTAAATATACGGAAGCTATTTACTATTACAAGACAATTATTTATTTATCATTTACCATAAAATTGAGAATTCCGTTATACTCTCCAATTATTATAAAATGTTTTTTTTTTTATACAACTTAGAATGGCGAACAAGCTGACGGCCCACCTGATGGTAAGTGGTAACCGTCGCCAATAGACATGAGTTGTACCATGGACATAACAGAGTATACTGTTTCGCCCATGATACCCCCTATGCGTTGCCATTCCTGAGGACTCAGGTGTTATTCCTCTGTACCGTGTAATTTCACTGCCATATCCCACCCTTCAAACCGAAACACAGCCATGCAAACACAACTGCTTCACGGTAGAAACACGAATGGGACAGAGGTGCACAAGCAATCGACTTTTGTACAAAGTCTCCCTCTGGTTTACTTGCTGTCTGGTTTTATTTACTGTAAAATTGTTTTATGATATCTTTTTATAACTTATAAAACATACTGAATACGAAATTCTTAGGAATGGAATTATTTAAAATCGAAATGAAACACAGAGGGAAGGACGTGTATGCTTATATTTACACAATGTATGTATGTATGTATGTATGTCTGGCACAACATACATTAGAATACAACATGGTACAGACAATTACTAATTCTAATCATTCGCCGGCGCCTAGGAATCTTATATTTGTAATTTTGACACAAAAAAAAAAATTATACATTCATCACTAGATTTTATATAATCAAAACTACAGCGCCACAAGTATAAAGCGGTGGTCATTTTCGGAACTAACATGTTATCTTGAAGTTTGCAAATTCTAAATTTAAATTATGGTGGACATATCAAACAGCGCCATCTTGTGTCACACTAGGCAAAACTTATGTGTACTAGACATTATAATATACATAGACTCTTACATAATTACATAGGAAACACCCACACTAATACAAACAAAAAAAAAACAAGACTGTTGACTGAATAGATTTATTTCACGTTTACAAAATGGTTATTTATACTTGTGACACTGTATACAAGTACATAGACGACGACCCGTCGTCGGTCTGTGGCAGAGCGCCATTTCTATTTAATATTTAAGGGGAAAGCAGTCGGCACAAAACAGTGCATTACTAAAATATTGACAAACCCATAAAGTATCGATCCATTACATTGGATATTCCATACATTGTTACATGACACTAAAATATTTAGAAAGCCGATTACAGTAACTGCACAACATTGTAACAATATCATAGACAAATAAAATACATTTTTTTTTCACGGCAATAATACATATAAACGTAGAATGTAAACATTTTTTGGCGCGAAATTCGAATCGAGATTTTTAAATTTAAATTTAGAATAACGTGACATACTGATATCGGCACTAAAGTATAATAACCGCCATTAGAAGGCGCAGCACGGTCATTCAGCGCGCGACTACAATACGTAAGCACTCCACAAAGTAAGTATTAATTAATAATAATAAAAAAAATATCATCTATATTATATTAATGAGCTCAAATTATAATATAAATTTTGTTCTTTACTTGTCTCTTTTAGTTAGAAAACCAACTTAAATTAAGGCAAAAGAACTATCTCTGTACAGCCATATCTGATGTTTTTCACCTTCACACTCACGTTATGTACCGGATAAGGCAGTAAAAATCGATGTTAGGTTCAACAATACATTCAATATTTTAAGTGGATAGAAAAAGTTAATTAAAAAAAAAAATCATACAAACTAAGAATGGTGTAGAAACTAATAATGTAACAATACTTATATTTTTTTATAAGCAAGTTCCTTGCTTCACATGTAACCTATAATCTAACAAACCATCCAATTTTTTAATAATTATTATCATAAATTATTACAAAAATTAAATAAATACACAAGAAGTCGTTTCTGAGAAGCCAATTGTAAGATGAAAATATAATAACTACCGGTTTAACATGTGTGTAATTAGATAAAGCTCGACTAGTTTCGAAATCAATCCGTGATCCTTAGTCATGAGCGGCTGTGATGCGAGCGCGAGCCTGACCGTACGCCACGGCAGCCTTTACATTAAAATATAATACGTGCTTATGAAATTTCTAACAATGAAAATCACTATGAAATCGTCATTGTAAGGACCAATATGGACTTTTAAAATTATTTTAGTCTATAGAACTGTAATTTGCTAAGAATTGGCGTCTTAGAATCGGCCTCATAGTCATGCTAACATTCACTCTAAAATCCTTAATATTAATAAAAAAATTCGTTTTGACGAGTATCATGGCATTATGGCTTAGGTCTGACATTATTTATTGTATTAAAAAAAAAATATGCCCACATACTGACGAAACTGGAATTAGATTCTATGCAACAAATAAAATAAACACAGTAAAATAAATATTCATATTGCTGTACAATTACTTATACATAGCCACTTTACAGTGTAAAATATTCAAATGTAATAAACTGGTTGCATAGATTTATTATGCTTTATTGTACAATAAAAATTGGTACGAGTGGCGAGCTTAATGCCGTATGGCGTTCTCTACCAGCTAACCGTTAGGTAAAAACAGAAATCGTTTGAGGGCAGTAGTGGCGAATATACATTACACAATACAATACGAAATATTGTTTTTTTTTTTTTATTAAGTGTCAAAGACCGCACGCTACACAGATCTCATTATCACAATCGAGTAAATACGTCAGTGACATTAATACTTTATTGTTTGTTCTACAACTCGCTTCAAATTATTCTACTAGAGTATTTCTAGATATTTTATCACATAGTCACAATAACTAAAAAGTAGTCAATTGTCATCTCCAAGAATTTTAATGGTATAAAAAACTTTGATATTATTACGTACATATATTTAAAATAAAATTATAATAATTAATTGATATTCAAGTAATAAAATGCTTAAAACATCTCCTTTAACCTTGTTAAAAATAAAAGTATCCTATCTAATCGATTTTGTGATCAAAATCTGATCATTTTCATAAAAGCAACATCACTATTTATATAAAAAAAGTATAATAAAAAAAAATGAAGTGCTTACATTTGTCGCGAAAAGAACAAGGTGCCAAATCGAGCGTGTTTCCATCTTGTTGGTAGCAAATTGGAACATTCTCGTTTCTTAGAAAGGTATGCAAGGCGATAGGCGAAGTCTCACATCAGCCGCCATATTGGATTTGTGATGACGTCATATACAAAATCATTAGTATTTTTAAGGAAGTGTTCTACCATAGATACTGAACGTCCTTCCAAAAGGAATACGGATTGAAACAAAGAATTTCATTAATAGGACTATGTGTTTCAAATCAACCATTATAGAGGGCAGCACCATCACACGATTTGCCATTACAAATAAAAAAAAAATTTAATAAAATATCTATGGGATCAATCTGTGAGTATCTCCTATCAGATAAAAAAAATTGCCAAATCACTTTCAAACTGACGAAATAAATTTAAAACTGACGGAGTTATGGGGGTGACATTAAATAAAAAAAAAAATACAACCGATTTAAGAACTTTTATCTTTTTTAAATCGATTGTAAAAGACACCATTTTCTAAGGTCGTAATTTTTTATACAACTTAGAATGGCAAACAAGCTAACGGTCCACCTGATGGAAAGTGGTAAGCGTCGCCTATAGGCATGAGCAGTACCGTGCACATAACAGTACACACACATACTGTTTCGCCCATGATACCCGCCATGCGTTGCCATTCCTGAGGACTCAGGTGTTATTTGTCTGTACCCAGTAAATTCACGCCATATAAATTCAAACCGAAACACAGCCATGCAAACACAACCGCTTCACGGTTGAAACACGATTAGGACAGAGGTACCCAAGCAATCGACTTTGTACAAAGTCTCCCTCTTAAAATCTACACACGTAATCTTTTAGAACCCACAATGGCGGGGTAACATTATGGCATATACTCTGACGTAACTATAAAGCACTGTCGCCTCGCATACAAAATATACAAGCCGCATGCACTACATGCACGCATTTGTACTTTAAATAGAAACATTTATAACTATTTTACAATATTCTAACAATTTCATATAGGTATAATAATATTTTGATACAATTTTACCTTTATGGCAACATTTGTAACTATGTTCCTTCACACATCACACATAGCTTATACGCAATAGCAATAATCGATTATAAAAAATACATTTCGATTTAAATAAAAAATAAAAACATATATCAATGTACAATATCAGATTTATTTATTTATTTTTTTTATCAAAGGAAACAATTAAACCAGCGAGATTCAGAACACTGGCAACAATACTACTTTTATTTTTTATTGACGAGCCAAAGTAAACAATTATATACAGCTATAATCTCGCAAAGAAGTTTATGACATCACTATTATGTAAATAGTACGTATATTTGTTCTGTCGCAGATCGTGTCTAGATAAATATTATATAATCATATTATTTACAATTTAAAAATTATACACACAAACATATATATATATATATATATAAACTGTAATATAAATAGATAAACGTTTATTGCAATTTTATGACATAAAAAACCCATAAAAATCACTAACTTCTACTTTATAAT